TGTAAAGATACAGGGTAAAGATCAGGAAGTAAGTGGAACAGACAGGCTGATACATGACTGTTTGTGTGTGCAGAAGCAGAGAAGGCCAAATAAGAGTGATATTACAGTAGTCAAAATGAGAAGATGGTAAAATTAAATAATGCAGATGATCTTGGAGAGGGCACAGCTGATGTGCATCTGATCAAAATGGGAGGAGAGTGAAGCAAAATGCCCTAAGACATTATGAGAACTGGGAAGGAAAAGACCAGATTTTTTTCCATATCCCTGATATGTCCAGCATGGTAAGTGTCCAGGAAGTGCTTGCCTCAGGAGAATTTATGTTACACGTTAATTCAAAGAGAGTAGATGGTTTTACACCACTCTATCTATATTACTGAACATAACTAGCTGCAGTGTAGCTTCTCCATCTGTAAGATGCCAACTTAATCTATGCATTTGCAACAATTTTTTTTGAAGGGAATCATTGAGCCATGAACAGCAAAATGCTATAATTTGGGTTCTAATTACATGCTACCTGATTTTACAGAACAGAGGTAAAAATTGCATTTCCTAGGACTCTTTGATTGACCAGTCAGTGTCTGTGAAATAGGTGTCAAAAAACTTTGGAACTCAGTCCCATCTGCTTGGTCAGGCATCAGCTGCTGCACATGCATGTGGTTGAATATATAGGTTTATAAAGAAATGCAGCTATTTGGTGCAGGATAAATTGAACAGCATTAGCTGAACAGCATTAGTTAATACTATTTGAATTACATGAACTATTATAGGCATATGTAAACCTAATTCCTGTACTGAAAAATAAATTACTTTAAAAAATATCAATCACTATACACTCTTTAAACCTAAATACAGCCTGATTGAAATGCATTTTCCTATTCCACTAGTTTTCTGTAGCATTTCCTGCCTATAAATGAATCATTGTCAGACTTAGCAAGCAAAATATATTTTTGTGGACATCAGTGAGAATATTATTAATCCTGGTTGGTAAAGCACATAAAATTTAATTGGGAATAGTCCTTCAGCTCTTCCCATTAGTTGTTTACAATAATGGCTCTTCTCTTGGGACCTTCTGTACCTACCACATAAACCTAGGTTATAAATCACAATGCATCAATAACAAATTAGTAGTATAAACATAAAATTGTGATCTTCATAAATAAATTTATGACTAAGGCTACAGAGGACTTCACCTAACAAGCAACATCCAGATATAAACTGTGTTGGTTAAATAAGTTACTATTTTAAAGCACCTTTGGGCTCTGAGATTGTGCCATGCATAAATATGAGCACGTGAATAACTGCTTGCATGATTGTAGTGTCAGTTTACAACCAGTAAATATTTGCAAATGAGTTCTCTTTCATTCTGATCCCTTCCTTCTCAGTGATGTTGATATTTATCACAGATATTACACAGCCCTTTACAAAAGGCAGAAGAGCCTCTTTTTGGAAGGATGAAATCATCCCCCAAACATTTATTTTCACAACTAGGTGAGGCAATCTCCCAGAGATTCTTGAAGTTGTTTATTTAAGTGATAGGATACAACAGTTCTGCCTTCAAAGGAGATTCCATATGCTTTCCTGTTGTGAATACACGTTCTGTCAGCACAGACACTTCAGAGCACAGGGGACAGCATTTAGACTTCATTTTCAGACACAAGCAAATGGATTTTTAAATAATTTGTAACCACAGGTGTTAGTGGTGAAAAACTCTGTGAAACTGAAGCTTAATCTGAAAATACATCTGCAGTTTGATTAACTGGAGAGAGTAATAAAATCTTAAAATCACTAAATAGATTCAGAAATGGCTCTGTCCTTCTAGGTGTCCCTAGAAAAATCCTTAGGCCTTGTAGGCCCTAAGTAAGAGAGATCACAGAAGGAGCTTCAGTATATCACTTAGTATCCTGTGAAGGATATAAGAAAATATATCTTTTCATATATTTTCTGTGACAGCCATTAATGAATGGCATTGGGCAAGCAAGGAGTGGCTTTTGGGCACGTTTTGGGCAGGATTGTTAGAACAGAGCTGCTCACACCATGCCCCAGCAGTCAGCCTGCTGGTGGCTGTGTCTTGTGCACGGCCTGACCTCTCGTGCTGCTCTACCCTTGCCAAGCTCTGTCTGTGGAGCAGGACTGACTTGCCCATGCCCATGTGCTCTCTCCAGAGCTTCCAGATTTTTGGAAGCACTATCTGGAAATAGCCCTGAGGTGAGCAAGTCCCTGCACACAGCCAGGACCAGCCCGCAGGGTGAGATTTGTGAGAGGAAAGATGTTGACAGGCCCTTTTTTCACTGCAGAAATGCAGGGTGTAAGTTTTCTCTGTTACACAGCAGGTGAAGCACAATCCCTGAAAGTGCTTATGATCCTATTCCCGAGAGAACAGGTCATATATTTGTAAATATAATGTATTTCATTGTGTACACTATAAATATGCCTGCTTACCTTAGTTTCTAATTCCATTTTTGCAGCGCTCAGCTCTTCTTTCCTTTGGTTAATTTTTTCATAGCTTCTATTTATGTCGCACTTAGCTGCAACACAACAAAAACCTGTAAGAAGAGGTACTCAGTTTGTAAAAGTTACATCCTTACAGACACATGCAATTGGCAAGGAGCAGCTGTCCCAGCTGCTGCTGAGCTTTCCCTCACACACATCCCCTCATGACACCCCTGCAGGACCACCCTGTTCATCCCCTGGGAATGGAGAGGCCACTGAGCATGGCCCAACAGCCCCACAGGGTTGTGGTCACAGGGCTGACCTTGCTGGATGAAGTGCCTCTTCTCCCTTGCCTGCTTCTCTGTGAACTGTATCTGTTGGAACAAAGCATCCAAGTTCATTTCTGCTTGCTGCGGAGCCTGTGGGCTCTGCGGGTGCTGCTGCCTGTGAGGGGTGAACGGTTACACTGGGGGGACTGGGGAAGGGTGAGGTGGGATCTGGGCACAGCTTTGTCCTCTGGGCTCCGTGCCTGCCAGACGTGCTGTGCCCTCAGCCTCTGCCTCCCTGGGACGGGAACAGAAGCCCAGGCCGCGGTGGGGAGCGAGTGTGGCACACAGGGAACACCTGAGGGGGCAGAGGGCACAGAGAGGGAGGTGGAGGTTGCAGAAATCAGTGGGAGTGAGAGTGAACCTCAGGCAAACTGAGTGACTGCATGGGAAACACAGGGAATGGGAACGAGCAGGCAGGGAAGCAGCACAGTAGGAGCAGGAGAAAGAAGCTATTTGGCAAGGGAAAAGCCAGATGACACTGAATCTTGTAAAACGTGGGCACATCTGTGAAACTGGTTGTGGCTCAGGGTCTGGGGAGTTTCGATCAAACAGCTTTGACTTTCTAATTTCATGTGCTTCATTCCCATTTTTTTCTTATCCAGAAGCTGGGTTTTTTACCCCATTTTTAAATGTTACTTCTGCTCAGATTTACTTATCTTTTGAAGACTGATGTCTAACCTGAGCAGTTAAATAGGCTAAAATCTGCTATCACACAGAAGAACACAGCAAAGCTGAGTCCATAGAACTTACAGTGATCACTCTCAGGTTACTGCATTAATGCAAAAATCCAGTGTTTCTCCCCAGTTAGTACCAGTTTACTAGTTAATCCCAGTAAACAGCACAGCCCATGCTACATTCTTCCACAGCATATGTGTGTACAAGTTTGCTATGCTCTGAGCTCCTGCAATGTTCTGGTTTGCACATTACTTGATGTACAAATCTGGAAATTTAAGTACCTGGTTGAAAATATAGGAATGATGCTTCTACATCTTGGAAAGGATTATCTACATACCCTGCAGGGAATGCCTATGTGAAGTTGGCCTATTTGCTTTGAGGCAGAAAAAGCCTGGAGGAATGGAACTTTATAGATTTCTAGCCTTTTTAACATTGAAAAAGATTGGGATTATTGACAGTCCTGTGTTGTTATAGAGTTTTCCTCAGAGGAGATACTGTCACAGCATAGACTGCAGCAGCAAAGTTCAGAAATTAGAAAGAAAATCTTCAACCATCAAAAGCAAAACAATATACATGAGGGTACAAATGTCTTATTAATGAAAAAGCTGTTCTAAGTTAGCAGAATGAACCTGAGAATTCTGGAAAAATGTTATGATATAGCATTTTCTGCTTTAAAAAGCACCATGCTATAGCTGATAGTGTGTTATAAAATGGTGCTTTTTAAAGGAAAGAAAAAAAAGTGGGTTCTGACGAAATTTTAAACCCTGAAACCAGCACATTATGTTGCAGGAAATGCAATTATTTTTTTAAAATGGAACAAAGTGCAACTGAGGGAGAAGAGTTCACAAAAGTGAATTTAGAAAATGTTTCAGAAGTGAAGCTTCCTACCCAAAGGCCAAAGGAGAAGAGGATGAGTCAAACGGGAACATTTGGTGATTGAGACAGTGATTTGTTACACAGGTCTGATGAGTGAAAAAGTCATTTTGTGAAATTCAAGAAAATGAACTGCTCTATCAGTGGATCAAGGAGAAAATAAAATGAAAAGCTTTCTTTGAAGTTTTTGAGACTTGAGTGCTTTTGTGTGTCAAACTGAGAAAGCTGCTGTAGGCTGGGATAGTGTTCAGTGTCACTTATTAAAGGAATGACTGTGTTTGGTGGAGGGTGCTCCAGTGCCTCTAATTATGCCAAAGGAGCTGGTCTCCCTAGAAAGAAGAGTCTGACTCCAACTGTACTTCTCACTGTCTGAGAATGACCATTCAGCATGATTAACAGTTCTGTAAGAGTTTCCTTCAGAGACCCAAAAAATTCAGAGTGGGACAAGTATTTGACTTTATGCTTCATTGCTTTTGACTCCTTCAGCTATTTGCCATGGGCTTGATTTTTATATGGTAAATAACTCACAACAATAACTCAGGATTATATAAATTGAACCACACATCTTAAACATCTACAAGTGATCTCAGACTCAAGATTAAGGCCATTATTTCACAGATGTGCAGTTGTCTGTCTCCCATGGAAATGGATGAGATGGCATGAAGCTAAATGTTTCAGAATAAATGTAAAATGTACATTACCTTTGCTCAACTCCAACTTTTGCAAAGTAGATCTTTTGTAAATCACTAGCTGCTAGAAAGGTGACTTTAATTTAATTCTGTCAGTCATATCAGTACATCCCAATCTTAATCTATATCTGTATCTTAATCACTGTGCTGTAATCAGCTCATGTCTTTTTAGTGTTCTTCAAAATTAGTAATTGCCCTTTGTAATCAGGCTGTTGTGCTAATAGTAAAGTTTCTTCCACAAGTTGCTTCTCTAGTTTGTGCAGGAAGAAGAAAAGAAAGATTTTGCTTGCAATTTCAAGTCACTATAAAAAATTTTAGCTGTAATTTATTTCTAAATCATATACACTCAGATTGTTTCAAAAATTTGTTTTCTAAAAGCCAAAAATTAAAGAGGCAAAAGTAAAGAAGTAGCAGGGTAAAAGTTAGATCATGCAATTGGTCTTCACCATAAAAAAACATACAGTAAAAGCTAGAAACTGTAATGACAAATAGATTTCCTCTTTTGGTCTTAAGCACTGTTACTATTATTTTTCCATATACAAACTATACTGCTTACTTATGAAATGCTATATTTATAGCAAACTTTCTTACCAAACTGCATCTCTCTGGTCTTCCTTTTCTCTTGGTGGTCTTTGTATTTGACAACTATTTTTGCACTAACTTTTTTCTATATTCCAGGAAGAAATAAAGTCAAATTACTCTGTGACATAAATTCACAGCTGACGTTTTGTGCTCACAGTTATTTCCTTTAGAGGAAATACCATATATCTGTGAGTGTGTGTGTGTGTACAGATTAAAAAAATAAAATAAAGCAAGTGCACTAACCACTTGGAATGCAGTGCTAAGCAGCAATGCTGTTGGGTAGAGACCACATATAGTGAGAAATCCAGCAATTATTTCTCATAAGCAAGCATAAAAAACCAAAGACTTATTAAGAATTAACTTTATAACATCACTTTTCAAAATCAAGGCTTTATGTCTATTATTTAAAACTTCATTGTTAAAATTCAGCAAGCAATGTAAACTGGTAACATAAAATAAAGTTTTTTCAATGCAAATCAAGAAAATTTTGTGTGGTGGTTCTCCTGCTGACCACCCATTGCATGGCAGGGTAGGATGGAGCTGTTGCATCTCTTCCATTGCCTGTCTCCTGCCCTGGATGGATGGGATAGGGGGAGCACAGGAGCAGCAGAACAAGCTCTTGGTGGTCTCTGCTTGAATATATTTGAGTTGCTAGTAATGGAGAGTTAAAAAAAAAGAACAAATAAAAAGAGCTCAATTACTTCTAAAAACCTACAGCAGGACAACAGAGAAGGGAAATACTAAAATGCAGTAATACCCTATAATTTATGAATTATCTCAAATTTCCTGAGGAACTCAGGCTGAAAACAGTCTAGTTTTTATCTCTGGAAGAGTGAGAGCAAACTCGCTGGAAGCTCTCCATTTCTAATAGACTGCTCAGCAAGGGAGTTATGAATAGACACCCTGTTTCCTCCTTGTAACAGGAAAGAAATAAACTAAAAAAATTCACGTAACAAAAATCTAAAATAATGGAAAATGCAGAAATAAATCCCTGGTAAATTATATGGAAATGAATACAGAGCAACAAGAATGTTTCTCTTTGCCCCAAATCCCTACTTGGTGTGTCAGGTGACAAAATTGTGAGTTAGTGAAAAGCTCTGTGTGATTCTTAAAAAACTAACTTTGTACTCCCCCTAACATGCCTGCCTGCAATGGAGAATTAGCTATACCCTTTTCCATTTTGGTAGGAATGTAAACAACTTCACAACAGATGTTCTTTATAAGGACAGAGCCTGCTATTTGCATTGTGATATCTCTGTTTGAGTCTTATATCCAAGATTTTGTTTAATTCCATCTGGAAAGGCTTCATTGGATTCCTTTGGCTTACTAAATCAAACATTACTCTCTTCTGTTTTTAAATCTAAGTTTTCTATCATCTTTGGTCAGAATCACACAGCACCTTCTTTCCTGAGTGATTGGTAACTGTGCTGTTCCACAGGTATCCACACTGTTCCTCTGTAGTGGTTTGGGGTCTTGAATACATTTCAGTTGTCTCTTTTACTGAATCTAAGAGTTTATCCTAAAACTTTCATACTCTGCTGTTCTGTAATATTTGGCTAAGTGACAAATGAGGCTCTCATTTTGAAACATCTATCAGAGCTCTTATTTATCTTGGCATAATGGTAGTAACTTGTCTAATGGAGAAAGAATTTTTCAGATCTGGAGTGCATTTCACAGTACAAAATAAAGCCTTGGCTTTGTATTTTCACAGAAAATTTTCTTAATTATTTGCCTGGGAAACTGTAGTTTGGTTTACATCAATACTTAGTTACCACTAAGTTGGCATCCAGTGGAAGTTGCAACAAAAAAGTGAAGAAATACTTTTGAGATTTTAATTGTTTGTATCTTCCATTTATAAAAGGATTTTTTTTTTCTATTTTGCTATTAGCAGAAGTGTAAATGAATTATCCATTATGTCATAATGTCTTATAAGGAGATGGGTGGCATTAAATCCCCTGAAAAAAAGGGCTGTAAAAGAAACATTTTGAGGAGTGGGAATTTTCATGCAAGAGATGTAATCTTGGATTGAAATGCATTAAACAGTCTGTTGCAAAGACTTCATTTTAATCAATTAAGTATGAGATGTTTCCTATAAGCATGTCATGCCAATATGCCATCTTATCTCTTTTTGTCACATAAATTTTATCTTAATCATAGAAAAATCTTAATGGACATTGAAACATAGAAAGCAATATTTTTTACAGTTAGTTCATCAAAGAAAAATAATTTTCTTTTTCTCCCATTTCAGTTGAT